GGGTTAAATGATCCATAATACAACTACATGTTATGTCTATGGATCATTTAACCCATTCATATTAGCAGGGGAGAACTGCAACTCTATTGTCTGCAGTGTATACTCTATATGTAGCACATATGGAGCATACACTGAAGACAAAAGTTTTACAATTATTCTCTGCTAATACTAAAATGTCCTCACTCACTGTTCTGATGATGGCCGGTGCCTCGCTGGTGAGGTCGTCTTCGGCGCTGTGCAGGAGAGCAGCGGCGAGTCAGCGCTGGTCCGGTGGGAGGAACTCCAGGTGGGGTCCTAATTTAGCTGTCCGATCGCCTGCCAGCTAAATTAGGACCCCATTTGGAGCTGCGCCCACCGGACCATCGCTGATTCGCCGCAGCTCTCCCGAACAGCAGCCGAAAGGTGAGAGAAAAATATATAGCGCAAGCTTCGGCGCTATGTATCGGGGCATTTTGACAAGTACTTGACAAGATGCTAGTACCGGTATCGGGACATCCCTAATTGTTATACTAACGCACCTTGGTCAGCGGAATGAGCCATCAGCTCTCCCGTCCTGTAGTATTACAGTTTTTTCCCCCAAAAATTTCCATCCACTTCCTGTCAGTAAATAATCAAACCTTATTATCTTCAGATTTAATTTTCCTAGTTATTCATCTGAACTCTAGTTACCCCTCTCTTCACCTGTCGTGTGATCCCACATAGATCCGATCAATTGCTGCTTTAAGGACTTACCTTAAATGATGCCTCTTGATCCGATCATCTTCTTCCTTCCACTCGTATTCAGCAATACCTCTAGAGCTGGTGCTCTGTCGAAGTACCCAACTCTTCGAGATCTCCAACTCGTGATGTCACGTCAATTATAGATTTCGACAAGATGGCGCTAGCCGTCAGTTTTTGCAATCCTCGTTGACTTCTCCAGTTTCCGAGGTGCGCTTGTGCGGCTTCTAAATTGTCATCAAGTTCTCCAACTCCAGTCAGGTGCTTGTGGCATCGGGTGCCCGCGAAGGCGCACTGCCGCAGATTGTAGAGCTTGATACTTCACTTGGGTGGCTGCGCAGGCACACTGACGAGAGTTGGAGGTCTCGACGAGTTGGAGAATTCAATAAAACACCGGTCTCTGATCTAGCACAGACTCCTCGGGTCCCACAGTGTCTGTGCGACGTGCATTCAGCTCCACTGTGTCTCTCCTCTTCTCCCCGCCGAAGATCTCTACTGCACATGCGCCCATCCCATGATTCTTCACATCCGCTCGAGAATCTTCAGATCTTCGGACAAAAGTGAGGTGCGAAGACACAGGTAAAATTTTCGGTAACTTTTTAAAAAATGTTTTTGCATAGATCTACTGCTTGCTAGCAGTAGATATATGCCAAAAAAATAAACCGAGAGTTTAATTCTACTTTAAATATTATTCTTCCGTTAAATGTAATTGGTCTAGTTATTCCTCTAGCTGACCCCTCTATTGACTAGTCATGTGATTCCAGAGAAAGAGCCACTGTTATTTAACAGTAAAACGTAACTGAGGCCCCATAAAACGTAAGGCCCCATTCACACCGGATCCATTGCACTGCGTTACCATCCATTTTTAATGGATGGTAACGCAAGGGCAACGAAAAATGAATGGATGTGAATGGGACAGATCACACTACTGCATGGTGTTACCGTACATTGCGCTGGAAAAAAAAAAATGCATCACAAGCTATTAGAGTAAAGTCGGTCCTCTCAGGACATGTTACTAAACATAAAGCTTGCAGGGAAAAAAAAACGATAAATCACAACAGAACACAATGGTTCGGAAGGTATAATCACAAGCCAACGGACCCTCCATTGACCTGTGAGTACCTTCTGATGTGGTTGTGAATGCACCCTAATATTTCCAAAGTTCCTTCCATTTCCTGTCATTAAATTACTAAACATCATTATTTTTAAGATTTAATTTGCCCAAGAATTCATATGACCTCTAGTTATCCTCTACTGACGGGTCGTGTGATCCCACAGAAAGATCCACTTTTACCTAATAGTAAAATAGAACTATACTATTTCATAAATCCTATCCACTTCCTGTCAGATTATTGAATATTATTCTTGTTACCTTTAAATTTGCCTTGTTACTCCTCTATTGACCAATCATGTGATCCCAGGGAAAGATCCACTTCCATCTAATAGTAAAATAGAACTATACTATTTCCAAAGTTCCGTCCATTTCCTGTCAGTAAATTATTAAACATTGTTATATTTAATTTGCTTAATTATCCACCTGACCTCTAGTTAACCTTCTCGACCTGTTCTGTGATCCCAGAGAAAGATCCACTTTTATTGAAGAAGTAAAATGTAGCTATAGTATTTACTGCATTCTATCCACTTCCTGTCTGTAAATTATTAAATATAATTAGTCTGATAAATTTCATTTGCCTAGTTATTGATTAATCCTCCGGTCATGTGATCCCAAATAGATCCACTTTCATCTAGTAAAATGAAGGATTATACCAGATCTCAGGGTGGGTTCCAATTCTTTTTCCTAGTTATTCCTTTTTCTAGCTGAACCTCTACTGAGATCCCACAAAGATCCACCTTCATCTAATCGTAAGATACAACAATATTTCCAAAGTATCGTCCACTTCCTGTCAGTAGATCATTAAATATTACTATTCTGCTAGACTGAACTTGCCTAGTTTCCTCTCTAACCTCTAGTCAACCCTCTATTGACCTGTCACCGATCCCTGATATATCCACTTTTATCTTAACAGTAAAATTTAGCCACATTTCCAAAATTCCGTTCTCTTCCTGCCAGTAAATTAATAATTATTCTTCTGTTCAATATAATTTGATGTTATTTCTCTATCCTCCAGTGAAAACAGAACTATGGGGTCAGTGTTTTTCCCCATAGTTCTCTTAAGAGTCACGGGAGGACGTATACTAGCGCCCTCCCGTCACCCAAACCTCAGTATATAGAGAGCTGCAGCTCGCGGTACACTGAGACCACAGCAGCCAGGATGGATCTTGACAATGCTGTTGAGATCCACCCATCTGCGTGATTGACAGCTGGCTCTGCCTATCTAGAGGCAGTGCCAGCTGTACCCGCCCACCAGTCAGCGCTGGAGGATCGGAGCGGGGGGGAATCCCTGCAGGGAGCCGTGACAGTCACGGCTCTCTGCAGGGAGATGATCAAGAAGTGAGCGAGCGACGGTATGTGTTCGCTCACTTCCCGATCTATTGAGCCGACGTGTGACAGTCTCATTGTCACAGGTCGGCTAGAACTATGAGGATGAGTGATTTTCACTCACCTCATAGTTCTCCTTTAACCCCCTACTGCCCTGTCGCTGATCCCCGATAGATCCACTTTCATCTAGTAATAAAATGTTGCTCTATTTCCAAAGTTGCGACCATTTCCTGTCAGTAAATTACAAAATATTACTCTTCCGTTAGATAAATATTGCCCAGTTATTCCCCAGTTAACCCTCTACTGACCAGTCATGTGATCCCAGAGAAAGATCCACATTCATCTAATAGTAAAATATAACTATACTATTTACAAAGTTCCTCCCACTTCCTGTCTTCAGTAAATGATTAAATATTATTCTTCGATAGAAATTGCCTAGTTATTCACCTATCCTCCAGTTAACCCTCTACTGACCGGTCATGTGATCCCAGAGATAGATCCACTTTCGTCTAGTAGCTAGAATATTTCCAATGTGTCGTCCACTTCCTGTCGTCAGTAAATGATTACATATTATTATTCTGCTAGACTGACCTCGTAACCCTCTACTGACCTGTCATGTGATCCCCGACAGATCCACTTTTATAGAATAGTACAATTTAGCTACATTTCCAAATTTCCTCCTCTTCCTGTCAGTAAATGATTACATATTATTATTGCATGAGATATGATCATTGACCCCCTACTGACCTGTCACGTGACCCCAGATAGATCCACTTTGATCCAATAGTAAAATTTAGCTATATTTCCAAACGTCCCCCCACTTCCCGTCAGTAAATGATTACATATTATTGCACGAGATATGGTCATTGATCCCCCATCCGACCCTCCACTGACCGGTCATGTGATCCCAGAGAAGGATCCACTTTCATCTAGTAGTAAAATTTAGCTCTATTTATAAACTTCACTCCACTTCCTGTCAATAAATGATTGCACATTATTATTGCATTAGATCTGATCTAATTATTAATGTATCCCCTATCTGACTCTCCATTGACCGGTCATGTGACCACGGATAGATCCACTTTCCTCTAATAGTAAAATTTAGCTCTATTTACAAAGTTTCCTCCACTTCCTGTCAGTAAATAATTACATATTATTATTATTGCATTAGCAATGGTCATGGATCCCACATCCGACCCTCTACTGACCGGTCATGTGATCCCAGATAAGGATCCACTTTCATCTAGTAGTAAAATTTAGCAATATTTACAGAATTTCCCGCCACTTCCTGTCAATAAATGATGACATATTAGTCTTGCATTAGATCTGATCTAGTTATTCATTGATCCCCCATCTGACCCTCCATTGACCGGTCATGTGACCCCCGGAGAGATCCACTTTCATTCAGTAAAATGAAGAATAATTACCAGATCTCAATTCTATTAATCTGATATATTGATCCTCAATCATCGCCCGCATTAACCCCCTCCTGTCCGGCTGTGTGATCTGTGTGACCCCAGAGACCCCTCCTGACCTCTACCAGTAAAAGTGATCTATTTCTGTATATGAGATGATCCCTACCCTGTTAGTAAATGATTAGATGTAATTAATGAATGGTCACAGGCACGGTGTCTAATGGTTCTCCTGCCCCCTAGTGATCGTGCGGGGATCCCTTGTCCTCCGGCAGGCACAGCTCTCCCCCTCTCTCTCTCTCCCGCCGTGTAATGACGCTGTGAGGTAATTTGTTATCCGGCGGCCTCTCCTGCCTGTCCTGGTAATTGGCCTCTGCTGTTCCTCTCAGACGGTGCTTCCCTCACCCCGGGGTCCCCTCAGATTCCTCCCCCGGCTCCTCCTCCTCACTTTGAGCGGGAAAAGAAAGCCCGCAGCGTGCGCCAGCCAATGACCGCCGGCCGTGCTGAGGGATTCGCCGGAGAGCTGACCGCACTGGACCGACGGGGATCTGGGCGGGAAATCGGGCGGCCAATGAGATTTTAGGCGGCTGGCTGAGGGGGTGAGGATATGGCCTGGCTGTGGGTGGGTTGTTTTAGGGGAGAGTTGTTGTAAAAGTGACCAGATGTGTTATAAATTCCCTTTATTGTGTGAAAGATTCAATATTTTGGGCTGCTCAGTGAGATCGAATGACAATAGTCCCTTAGGGCCCGATCACGCTCGTGGGTTGCAGTAAAGCGCGCACGTCGACGTACGTTATTGTGCCATTTATTTAAAATGCTGCTCCCAATGCACATGCGTAAAAAATGGCGCATGTCTGTTTTTTGGCAGTCCGTTCATTTGAAGCGGCTCAGCCTAGAGCTCAGCCAGTGAATGTTGATCGCTTAAACCGGCTCTCGACCCAATCCTAACTGCCAGATGGGGTTCCTGATCGTGTGATTGGCTGTCACGGTGGTTGCACGATTGAACCCCGACCCTGAGGGAGTGGTCGGTGATGGCACAGAACGGTGGAACCAAATGGACGCATATATGCCACTGGACGTCGTTAAAGCGCGACCACCATGTCGCCACTTATATGCGTTACGCCAACAGTAAAGTGTTAAAGAGCGCCGTTCTCGGCTTCTGTTCACGCTGCGTTTGCCTGCCAATTGGCAAGGACCTTTTCTTGTGACACTGTGCAACTAATGGTGTCACTCACCCATCTGCTATTCACATCCTGTGATACTGCCAGGCATTTCCTGTGACACCATGCAACCAATGGTGTCACTCACCCATCTCCAGAGGAGGAAACGTTCACCCGGCGGGAAGAGGTATGCCGCCAGGTCCCCTCCTCTCTCCTGACACTGTCGGGCTCTCGGTCCGTGATTGAGTGCCCGACTTTTCATAGGGGGGTGACACCAAAATGACTGCCAGTCATTTTGGTGTCATCCCCTCCAATGGTGGAACCCGGGTGCAGGCCGCACCTCCCTTGTGAAGGCCACTGCCGGTAGCTCCATGGGAGACTACGTTCTCAGTAACCGCATGCTCCCCGCCCGGCCGTCACAAAGGCAGACGTAGTGGCACCGAGCCCGATAAGGGTGCAGGAGCGGCAGAACTGAGCGGAGCTCCTGGCCCCTGCACCTGCATGCAAGAATTGGTATCTTAGAATGATTTACTCCGGGCAAATGTTTTTATTAACCCTTGCAGTGGGGCTACCCCCCCCTGCACTGCAAGGGTTAACTGCTTCTATCCGGGACTAAAATAGTTATATTCACCCAAACTTCGGAGCCAGCTTGCACAAAGACACGGGTGTCTTCTCAGCAGCCGGCAAGCTGAATGGGACACCCACATACAGGCAGGGGCATCAGCAGTTCCAGCCCTGTTTGTGATCTTGGAGGGTCCTCGTTAGGGGGTCTCCAGCTCTTAGCGCTGCCATTTCAAGGTGGATCTGCCAGACCGTACACCTTGTAAGGTGAAGCTCCTCCTTTTCCCGGGTTACGGCTCACTTCACCAGGACAGTAAGGCACCTCCTGGACTTTTCGGTATCAGACCTCTGTGGTGTAGGTCTGAAACCTGGTCCGTCCATATGTTACCAGGTGGACGTTTCAGCCGAGGTGCCTTTGCACGGCGGGAGTTTCTTTGTGGTCCCTCCTTGGGTGGGGGTGGGGGGTGTCTATTTGTTTATATTGGGATCGCCCGCCTTTCTCGTGCTGCTTTGGATGTCCCATAGTAATATACTCTTCTTGCGTCCTTCAATAGGCCTCATTGACACAGCGTAGAGTCGGGCCGCACAGATCCGTGTGGTGTGCATGGCCGCGTCGGGCAGTTCTCGGGAGGGACGGGGGTGCTGCATGTGATTGCACGTAGCAGCCTGTTCTTCCGTAAGGGAGGACGCGGCTGTACGCACGCCTGAGCTGCACGTCCGCGCGGGTCTGTGCTCGGATGGATCCTGTCTGCGTGTGAGCACGGACACCCGGACCCGTTCGGGTGAGCGTATGGTCGCTCTTCCCATAGGGAAGAACAGGCTGCTGCGCGCAATCACACGCAGTACCTGTACCTCCTGGGAACGGCCAGATGCGGCCGTGCACGCCGCATGGATCTGTACGGCCCGACTTTACTCTGTCTGAATGAGGCCTAAACTGTATTTTTGTACTGAACGGTAAAAGTCCATTGGTGGACACGGCTCCCTCCCCACGTATGTTGGCCGTTTGTGTTTACTCCAACAGTTTGCTACAACTGAAGAGTGACTGGTGGGAAGGGGAGGTGTGGCATCCCTCCAAGCTCCTGGCAACCAGTGATGTGATGAATGGTTGCCAGGAGCTCGCCGGGACGCCCGGATTGTTAAGAGCAGGGCAGAGAGATGTGTACGGCCCTCGGCAACTTGGGACACTGGCCAGAATGGGGGTGGCAGGAATACTGCAGACTTTGTGCCCATGCCGCTCTGCCCGCTGACCCCTGAGGCAAAAACCTCAGTCTGCCTCATTATAAGAACTGCCCTGCTGGTGGGGGACAGGTTATATAACTTAGGCCCAACCTACAGCCTTTGCAGTAGTGTCTATTCTCCTGTAGGTGGCGCTCTATAACCCATAGTATAAAGGTGCCCATACACCTTACGACCATCGCAAGACTTTTGTCTTGCGATGGTCGTATGCTCATTAAAAGCCCGTACGATCTGCCCACCTTGGACGGGCAGATCGTACTTGCGATCATCGTAAGCCCGCCCCGCTGAGGGACGGGCTTCCGATGACGGCAA